ACATTGCTGTATCTCCTAACAGCTTCAGAATAAACCCTTCTGCTGTATATCCCTTCTGCTGGAGAAAACCAATAACAGAAAGACCAGCCCTTTCTGCCATAATCCACTAGAAGGAAGAGAGGTGAGGCAATAAAACATCCTGCCTTGCCCTTGCTTGTCATCTGCTCCCACAAAAAGCCTTCAGGGCAGATTTTGCATGGGTCTGACTTCTGCCCATTTCAAGAGGATGTGGGTAGATAAGAGAGGGTGGAGTCAGAGGGCCGTTTTTGGCCAGGGTGTCTGTGAAACGCCTGCTGTGCCCCTTCCACCCTCAAGCCCAAGCACTTCACAGGCCAAGAATGAAGAGACGACAGCAGCAGAGGGGTTGGGTGAAATGTACAACAGGTAGGACGGTGAGGCTTCCACTAGCAGGACTGCCCAGCAAGGGACAGACTTACCCCACAAGTCTTGAGAATGCTGGTAGCTAAGATTTATTCTGAGCAGGCTCCTGGGACCCGCCCAGTGACTTGGCAGATGTGCTCACATCTGGGCTGGTGCACTAATGGCACTGAAAGCATTTCAGTCTCTGGGAGGCTCTCAGGAAGATGCTCCTCTGCCATTCTGCTCCCTTTTCCACCTGCTCACCTTTGCTGGAGTCGGTCTCTGTAATTATCGGTGGGAGAGACCAGCACTCTCACCAAAGGGATGCTTGTGAGTGTGTGAGCAGGGACAAAAACAGATCACAGCATACTGCTGTAGGGCAACTCCCTAGGAAACATTGTTTCTTATTTTAATACCCATTTATTTTTTAAAATCAAGTTGACATCTCTAGCTCCTCATGGGAAGTCCTTACTTTCTGTGCATGCACCTCATTAGTGGGGTGGGTTATGGGGAAACATTCTCTTTAGGCGGTGAAGAAGCTCAGGGATGATCCTTGTGAGAAACCATCCTAGGCTGAGACCAACATCTCGTCTTGGGTGAAGTGGAGGTCTTTCGGTGTGCGGGAAACTCTGTGAGGAAATACTATAAAAAAAGTGAATGATCTCTTCTGCACTCTGTGTTCTCACCCACACACTGAGCATCGCAGGAGTTTCTGACAATGTTTTGCAGCTGTATATTGAAAGAAGAGAACTAGGAAAGGAAGAAGAGCAATCAAAACTGTGTCATCTTTTCAAGCTCATTCTAGGCCTTTTTTTTTTGCTTTTGTTATTTCATTTTTACCAAAGCTCTCTGTCCTAACAAGGACACGTCAGCTGGCACAAGTCCTAATGCAGATGCAGTTATATTTTTAAAAAACCCATTCTATCTGGGATCGTACAAAAGAGCTCTTGTGTCTATCAGCTGCAAACCTTCGCCAAGGCAGATGGGCTCCAATTCAAGCATATGTTTGCTAAAACAAAGGGAAGGGCTAAAGCACTGTTTCCTTCAGTGTCGAAACTCATCTTCCTGTTAACGTGCAACATGTACGAAGTGTAACAGGTCAAGATTGCTTATTTAAGCATCTTCAAAACAATGTTTTCTCTTTTCAGCTCTGTGACAGGTTGAAGTAGCTCTCCAGTACTATTTATTTATTCGTTCATGTCCCATCTCATGCAGGTCCATCTCCGACAAAACACTTGACATACTGTTTCACAGTCATTTTAAGATGATCTAAAAACCAAGCTGATATTGAAATGAATAATACCAGCCTTCTCCTCTCCCTGCCTGCTGCCTCTCAGTCCATGTCCTTTCCTAAGGTCAGCTCCAGCAATTGCACAGCTATGCCTCTCACACATTCAACAGAAAAGCCTTGCCACTCAGTGACAGCTTAGGTAGCTTTCAGATTAGCCAGGCCAGGGAGACCCTAGGGCAAAATCAGAGGTTCCCTGTCAACAAACAGCCCTGAAGAGTAAGAATCCACCAGTCAAGAAAGCAGATGCCCCACCTTCAAGCACAGCTGCTCAAAACAGATGTCCCTAGCACGACAGGCCCTGTGTCAATAAGGACACATGCCACTTTGGTCTCAGGTGGGCTGCACTACTTAGTGCCACCAAAAAAATCCTTTTTTCTTGAACCCATTTGAAGAATCTGTCTTTGATTAAAGCTGGTCCTGGCTCAGCGTGAAAGGCAGCCCCAGGAGTGTCACTTAGGCTGTTCCTCCCCAATACCTTCATCACTTCCTCCTTCTGGCTACATCTGTATGTGGGCACAACTGCCAGGCAGCAAAAGAGGGGATCCCAATTACCCTTTCTTTCTGATCATTGATTGCTGGTCAGGCACGTTAGGAAAACAACACGGTTGTTTCTCAACCATCATAGTACCCATGGTTAAACAACAGAGCAAAAACACAAGGAGATCACTCCTTTTTCAGGATGCTGAATGGTTTTATCTACTCAGAAGGAGAAGAGATAGGAATTCAGAGCAATCATCTTGCTGTGAAGCTGCTTCCCTTTATGGAGTGGAGCACCGCTCCAGCTCTCACACAGCATCGCTGTGCTCCAGCCAGTCACACACACAATTGTCCTGAAGAGCTGAGATTTTAAAAGTATACTGGCCTTGAATGAAGTAGCTGGCTGGCTGATGCTCCATTGGCTCTAGACATGTGGTGGGGGGGAAACTTCAGTCATCAAGCAATTGGTGGCTCTAGCACAGTGTAAAGTCAGTTGCTATTTCAGGGAAAGGAAAGGAAACTGTTCCCTGGGGGGAATGACTGCACCATGTCAGCGCCAGGAATAGGCTGAGATTTTTAAAAAATTTTTTCCCTCTACACTTCAGGAAAAGCGAACACACAATGTTCATTTGCAGGGATCATTTCCTGAACATGATGTGTGCTCGCTGTCCCGCAGGTCACTTTCCAGTGTGTCACATCCTTCTGCACAAGGGAGAGCAGGAAATGGCAAACTCCCAGTATGAGGCAAAGCATTCCCATCGCAGCTATTGGTCCACAGGAGCTATAAATTGGTCTACTCCAGAAACAGATCAAAATTTGTCTTTGGGGAGGTCAGCTGGAAACTAAAGGTAAGTTTGAACCACTATTTTTTGGAGTCTCTTTGAGTACCATATTAGGAAAGCATTTGCAAGTTTTGGGCTAATGTATACCTTTACAGTTGGGGAGATTTTTCTCTGAGAGCAGGAGCTGTTTTTGTTTTCCTTTATGCTTGTATGAATCAGTGTATTCAAAAGACATGCATCACTGTACGGTTTATGCTGTATATTGAATGACTGTTCTACTAACTGCAGTGAGATGGCTGCTGTTATTACCTGAGACTGTTCTCAGCAAAAAAAAATCTGCAGAACAAATTGTTAAGAGGCTACAGGAATAGATATATTTAATTATCATCATATTGATCTGTTGTTATTGATGATATCCTCATTACATTTCAATACTAGTTTCCATTTAGATTAGTGTTAGTTCTTGTGCTTTCAGCTTCATCTCTGACTACAATGTAAAAAATAAGAGGACACTGTCTCCATCTAAGAAAAGCACAATGTACTAAAGTGGCTCAAATGGCCTGATGATACCAAGAGAGGCTGGGGTCGTTGTTCTGAAGGGCATAGGGGGAGATCCTAAAGGATTCTGCATGAGATAGATTAGGACAAGCAGAAGGGCAAAAAAATGCTGTGATAATTATTTACTTACGCACTTCAGGATGGAAAGACACTTTATGGTAGGAAGTTTTCTCCTTCTGGAACACAGGGACTCTGCAGAATGAAAGCCCCAAGGATCCTAACTGTATAGTGTGGCAACATGAGGGACCAGGCACCTCCAGTTCACACAGTAGTGGCTGCAGCAACGAATAGTTTTGCTTAGTTAGCTCTGGGACAGGGTCTTTCTGCTACAGAGACTTTTGACTCCGATGGCATTATGACTGCAAACAGCTTCTTAGCTCTAAGGCTGGACTTTGCTAGGTGCAGAGGCAGCACAGCCTTGTGCACAGTGCAGTGTTGTGGAGCACACAAGCTCTGCTCCCACTAAACAGCTGGTGATGCTACATCACTCCTTGTTGCCTCCCTTGCCTCAGTTGCCCTGTATGTAAGCAGGACTAAGGATGCTGGCTTCCTTTGTAGCACTTTGCAGACCCTAGAGCAGTCTGAAAATGCTTATTGGAAAATTTATTTTTACCCTTGTGACAAAGAACAGAGATAGCAAACAGAGATCGCCTAGCACTGAAACCTGCAGATTCACCCTCTAGAAGGGAAGACACTCTCCTGCTATCTTGCCAGGGGAGGTTGCCATAGTCAGCAGTTTTGAAGCCTTTTGTGTTCACAAGCCCCTGTATTTCCCCTTTTCCCCTGTCCCCAAGGGAGTGCACACTGAAAGAGGGCTTGCTTTTCTGATGTGCCCCTCATTAACCTTTTAAACAAGGTCCATAGGTTTCCCTGACACTGTCACTGGGGATCCACCACCACAGGCTGGACTGAGCACCACAGAACAATGGTTCCCATCTTTGTCCAGACCCTGACACCAGGTTACAATAGGAAAAAATTGCTGCAGGACCTTGAGTTGCTTAGGCATAAAGAAAGGAAGGATGTTCACAATACCCACCTGAGGCATCAATGAGCTTCTCACCTCCTAGATGGAAATGCCAGACCTTGACTCCCCTCAGCAGCTTCTCTTTTTCCTCCTCTAATGGGCATTGGATCACTTATAAGGGAAATTCTCTCTTATTAAGGGAATTTCTCTCCCCAGTGTTTGAAGAGACATTTTGTGTCTTCACACAGGTGATAACAACAGCACCTCTGACCCCAGCCCTTAAGATATTTTAGTGTTCTCATGGAACAAGAAAAACATTTAAAACTTCCTCTGTCTGAAAGTTACAGGGGAATATGGCAATTAAATGTACACATGTGTACGTGCATTTGTGTGCTTGTACGTGAGTGTGTGCGTGTGTGCAGACAGCAAACCTTTCACATAGCTGGGTGAGGCAATAAAAAAATTGGCTGGATGCCATCCCTGAAATGGTGTTCCAGGCTGAGCATGTCTCATGGGTTTTTTTAAACATAAATCGCAACCCAGACTTTTCTGTTTCTGGACAGAGGCCATGGAGAGAAACGGCGCTGCCTTCCCCCAAACACTAGACCCCACGCACCACTTCCACACAGCGCTGGTGGATCAGAGACGCAGGCTGCGTGGCCAGATTGCTCACCTTCACAAGGTGGCTCATAAACTTAACAAGCTCCGCAAAAGGTCCCTGATTGCCAATGTCAGCGGGAGCACCCTGACTGCCGCCGGAGCAGTCACAGCCATCGTGGGGCTGTCCCTGAGCCCGGCGACACTGGGAGCCTCTCTCCTGGTGTCGGCTGTGGGTCTAGGTCTGGCCACTGCCGGGGGGGCCATCAGCATCACCTCCGACCTCTCCTTAGTGCTCTGCAATTCCCGGGAGGTAAGGAAGGTGCAGGAAATCGCAATGACTTGTCGGAAACAGATGAGGGAAATCCTTGGCTGCCTGGAGTTCCTCCGCCGGGGGCAGGGCCCGGGGGACCCCACACTGCGCCAGTCAGAGAAGAGGGCCTCCATCTCACTGTACAACTCCGTCTGCTTCATGGTCTTCTGTGGCTCGCACAGCTTCCTTGTTCCGGAATGCACAAAGGAGGTCACAAAAGTAAGCCAGGCCGTGCTGAAAGCCAAAATCCAGAAGCTGGCTGCCAACCTTGAGACCTGCACCAGGGCGATGGATGAAGTGTGTGAACTTCTTGAGTCCAGGACAGAGCTCTCCACAAGCACGAGGAGACTCAGCTTGGGTGCTAAAACCACTGCTGAGACCCCAAGACCATCCAGCTGAAACAGAGTTTGCCTCATAATAAAAACCAGGCTTGGAGACATTACCTGATCGTCACCATTAGCACTGCTATGTGTTGCTATTGTAATATTGGTGGTGCCCACCCACACAGGTGCACACATCTCTTGTGTTCCTTATTTATATCCGAACACAAACCCTTTCATGATAGGAAGCTAAAGCTTAAACACACACACCTCCTGCCACTTCACAACTGCCCCTTGATTCAGGCTGGGGGTTATGATGGACACATGGACTATTGGGTACACAGCAGCAGATCCCAGAGCTTGCAGGCAGGGGTAGGTGGCCATTCCTCAGACCCATATTTCCCCAGCCATCTCCCCATTTCTGCCTTTGCAAGGCAGCAGAGAGAAGCAAGTCAGGAGGCTGATGAAATCCCTGCAGCCCTGGTGCTGACTGACTTTAGATTGTAAATAACTCACAAATCTATGAAACAGATGAGCACTTTTGGGGTACCCTCAAAAAGCCAGCAGCTGCCAATTCCCAGTTGAGTACAGTCCCATTGCCAAGGTACATCTGGAAAGGCTGTTGAAGGAAGCAGCTCCAGATGTGGCAGGCTAATATGGATGGCTCATCATCTCAGGGTGGAACAGAAGGGCTAGAAATTGTTAACCCTTCTGAGAAAACCTCTCCAGGCTGAGAACTGTGATGTTTGTGTTCTATTTATTTAGGTAGGATTATTTTAAGGTTTTGATATTGTATTTAAAGATGTATATATTTTTTTCTTTTAAAAAGGATGACTCTGCTCAGAAGGAAAGCAGCTGTTCTTAGAGGTAAAGCAAGTCTGTGGCATGTGAGAGCAAGTTACCTGTTCTTTGGCTGTGAGGGAAGGCAAATCCCTGTAGGAAAAAGAAAGCATGGTCTGAACACTGGTAGTTATAAAAGAGGTGAAACACTGTTGACCAGTGACAGATATTAGGAAACAAAACAGAAAGAAGGACAGGTCAGTGACCCTGGGACAAGAGTCTGCCTCAGGGGCCTGGTGGAAGAGAGCAGTTGTACCTCTTGCAGCAGGGAGGAAAGTGTAAACTGGTGTTACTGGTCTGAGCTGGAGCCCAGCTGTGATGGGAGTACATCTGAGAGGTGGAGGTGCCACCCTCCATGCAGTTGAGCAGCCTGTGAGACCCACAGTGGTTTGTCTGTGAGGGTGGAGGCAGCACTCACAGAAGGCTACACATAGTCCTAGCAATGCTTCCCAGGGAAGGCTTCATGTTAGCAAAATACATACTGGTACTAGTACTCAAGAGGGGTGCAGATGAGTGGGATGATGATTCAGTGGCAGAGCACTTAAGAAGCAGGAGGAAGGACTGAGACCCTGTTTCAAGTGACTGTTCTGCTAAATATGTCCTTTGTGATTTTCGACCCCTCAGTGCCTCAGTTCTCTGTCTACAAATGGGAATAATAGCACTTCCCTACCTCACAAGGATGTTTCTGAGACAAATATTGCAAAGTGCTCAAGTACGGTGATGATGGGGATCACTACAGTACCTCAAAGAGGTACAAAGAAGACACCCCGGAAACTAGCTTGAGACAGCTAGAGGAGTTAATGCAGGGGTAATTCCACCTCCACAAGTATGCCCCAGTGGTAAGGTAAACTTCCCCGCAGACGCATGAATCACAATGATCAGAAAACCCACTCTGTAAATCTGCAATGCTGAGCAAACTCTTAAGGTCAACGGTCCATCGCACAAAGCTTGAATCCTTGTCCTTTTTGTCTTTTCTTCTCATTACATCAATATTTGTTTTTACACATAAGAAGAACAAAAGCTTTGGTCTCTCAGGGTGTGACTCAGATGTCTGTATTTCCCATGCCTGTTTGCCAAAAATGAACAAGTACGCTGCTGGTTCAATTAAATGAATATGAAGCACTTTCATGTCAGTGTCTCTCTGCCCACCTGCATATGATCACACTCCTGCCCCTGGCTCACGGTGCTTGATGTCATGCTCCAGGCACTGGAGCCAGGGAATCGATAGGAGCAGCTGGACTTATTCAAAAGGGGAGAATGAAAAGTGAGGTCATCAGCTTCATACCACACAGCTGGCATTTGTGTACAAGTGTATACGCTTATGTCTGTGTGAGTGCAAATTAGCCCATGTACATTGTGGATGCTGGCCTCTGACATGCAAACACTGAGGTGCATATGTGTGAGTATGTAAGTGTGTTTTTGAAGTGCAAACACACACTATGTAAAGGCAAGCACAATGCTAATTTTTTCTTACTAATCCAGAATATCACCAGATAACTCTACCAGATCATTTATGACTTCACCATACTTCTGAGGTGGCTGGTTTTATCATCACAGAAAAAAGTACACAACTTATGTTGTTCTCCTACCTCCTCCTCAGTTTTCTAGTAATGCATATCCAGACACAGGGAACAACAGATGAAAAAAAAAACAGCTCTGAATGGACTAATCTGACCAGCATAAGGATCTGAATTTGATAGCTTAGACCTTCATGAAGGCTGGTTTTCTCGGCTCAGCATAGTCCTGCATTGGAATTACAGCCACTGTTTCAGCAGCTGAGACAAATCAGAAACTTTTGCTTCCATTGTCAGCCACACAGGAAAAAAAAAAAAAATCCTGCTTCTCTTCTGGTTTTCCTTAGATTAACCCTTCACTCGAGGTCAGGTTTTGGGTTGTTGCATAGTGTTGCTCTGCGACTGTGATTGAGCCCAAAGTACCACATTCTGGCCAGCTCTCAGCCACTCCCCTCTCCAGGTTTGTTTGCTAGGAACGCAACAGGAGGCTCAGGCAGAGATTGGGGCTCGCAGGCTGGAAGATCAGTGATCCTACACAAGACAGAGGGTTTGTGCAACTTAGTTTGCTCCCAAACCCATGCAGTGCTCTTGGACACCTTCTAAGCCAGGTGATCGTGTGAATCTAAATCTGTGCCCTCACACCTCAGCTACACTGATCTAGCAGCTCATAGGCAGGGCAGGAGGTGGTTGGATCCTCACCCAACTCTGGGCATGCCATCCCGTCTCCTCTCATGCAGCCAACACTGAATCTCATGTGATACCCTGGGGAGCCAGCTTTGGGAGTTGTGTTGGCAGAAATCTACCATATTTCGGGGTAAGATTCATTTCCTATTCTTTTTTGCTCCCTGAAACAGCTTACTGCTGGGTCAGATGAGCACCAGAGCTAGTACCAAGAAAGCACCAGAAGTAAGCAATTTGGGCTGGGACAGAGGTGCACCTACTCCAGTATTGGCTTAGTTCCAATATTGTGACTCCCTTAGAGTTACAAACAACATTTGGAGGATGCTTTGGTAAACATCTTTTTTAGCTAGTAGTTATGTTATTTACCCTTCAAATTAGATGTGTTTGTGGAACCTTTCCTTTGGTAGCTGGGCAACACATAGAGAAGGGTGCATGTGTGATTTGGTGTTTAGCCCGGGCTGGTAGTTACGAAACCTGGACTCCTGATGAGCATTTTAACACGAAGTCCTCTAGTATGTTTTGAAAGCATAATAAAAGGTGTCTATGGCAAAGGAGTCTGAATACAGTCAGGGAGTCAGGATATCCCAATAGCCTCTCTTTGGGCATCCCAACAGGTAGACAGGACCATTTATCATTAACTGACCTACAATATACACTGTCCATCTTGCCTATTATGTATGCCTTATGAAGCAGTTGGCATCATACCTGCACTAAAATTTATCTGCTGCAGATGCTCCCATCCTGTTCTCCTTAAGGAAGACTGAGCTTGTAACATGCAGTAAGTTTAGGAATGTATTTGGTCAAAAGCAAAGTCTAAAAGCCTTGGAGTGAAAATTCTAAATCCAGTATAATCTGCAGTGTCCTGTGCTGAAAAGCACAAAAACGGAATCACCATTTAGAAGCGAGTGCTTCCCAACAGCAATTTAGGACAGGAGGGAACTTTTACTGAAACAAATTTACTGACAAAAGGGAATTACCAAACTGGAATTTCACCAGAACAGAATTGTTCCACCCTGCTCCCTACCGTATTATATGGTCAATGTGTTGAACAACGAATCACAAGCAGTGACTTCCCATCACATTTCCTGAGGCATCCCAGTGATCCTAACAAGGGTTCAGGTCTAAGCACTGGCCAGGCTTAACCTTCAGCACTAATCATATATTGCAAGCTCACGGCTCAGACTGCTGTAATTTTGAAACATATGGTCGTAACTAGCATCTACATTGAGTGTTTCTTGTTGGTTTTTTGTTTGTTGGGGTTTTTTTATTTATTTTAAAATCATGGCTGCTGAGGCAGTGGGATGCAGCAGTTTCATTTCCACTGCTGCCCAATGAATTGTTTCAGGTTTCCTCTCCTTTCCCTGTCACGCAGAGAGTTTGTTTGGATTTCCTCTCACTTTCCTCATTGTTCTGGGAGCAGAGGAAATGGCATGCTTGGAATCCAGTGACAGATGCTCAGGTACGTCAGCATTTCCACTGCGAGCACACCCAGCCAGGCTTCCCAACCAGCAGCAGAGAGGGAGGTCTGCTCAGAAATGCAGTCACGAGTTCCATTTTGCAGTTGGCTCTGCTGACTTTTCGAAGCCCAAGCTCTTTGATACGTTAGCATCCTTTTCACTAAAACAGAGGATGTTCACCTAGCTGCCAGGCTGCCCTGCTGCAATCAGCATTGGGACTGCAGACCAGAGAGGCCACACCAAACCCAGATGGAAACCCATGAGCTCAGGAACCACCATAGTATTTGGATGCTGCTCTCCCTGGAAGGACACTAAATCCATTGCCATTTTCACCTTTCACTGTGCACTTGCAGACTCCCCATCTGGGTCACAACAGCAGCAACCAGGACAGCTGGTGAGTGTCAGCATCCACTCCCACCTCCCATTCTCTCATTCCATTCTGTGAGTTGCCACCGTTCATCTCATTTTATGTGTTTCCAGCACTGCAGTGTTGCACATTGGCTGTTACCAGAAATGGTAAAACACGGTGGAACAATGACAGTTACTGATTTTTCTTTTT